TTTAAGAAAGATATTGCAGGAAAGAGAGAAAGACAAAGGGAAACTCCACAAAGCCATTTAAGGGGAAAACGTATTAACGGTACACCATTGGGGTCAGTGAACAAATTTACAAAGCCATGATAATGCAACAACTGTAAACTGTATTTACTACTAAAATTAGTTGTAAAACTCTATTGGGAGAATGTGGGAGGGCAGATGGCAGACAAGAGAGCTAAAGTTCCTTTCTCTCTAAAAGGAAGTAAATGTAGGTCATGTCTAAAACTGTTAAATCAAGACAACATTATAAACACATTAATTAAAGTGTGAAAATAGTTACCAAAAGAAACACCTAAAAGAATGCAAACTGATAGAGTGCCTCTGGGATATGGCCTGGAGTGGGGGAGGTGCAGGGCAGGGGATAGTTTATGCATTATAAAGATTTTGATGCATTTTTTTTTACCATGTGCATGTATTGATTTGACAATTTTTAAAAGTATATAAAAGCACATTTTTGAAAACCACTTCCAGAAATTTGGAATCAGTAGGTCTAAGAGCACAGGAGTCTGCATCTTTAAAAAGCTCCCCTAGTGATTCTGACAAAGTTAATCTTGTGTCTCTAGTTTTAGAAACACAAAGAGGTAGCAACCAGTGCAAAAGCAGTAACATCGATCTGCTCAAATGGAGAAATGCCAGGGGCTATCGAATGTCAGGATGTTGGTCTCCCAGCCAGTCTCTTGCCATTTTACTAATAAAGCGGATAAATATTAGAAGAAGGCAAATGAAAACCAATAGTTTGTGCGTGACCTCATAATTCAACCCCTGTCTATAGGAGAACTTCATGGATAGGCCAGCTTTTCTCCCTCTTACATTTGTTAAAAACCACAAGCCTTGATTCAAAAATTAGCCTGGGGAAAAACATGAAACATCATGTAACTAGGGAAGCTTTTTAACTGAAGGATGTTGGATTAACTCCCTTTCAGACTCTGCAGTTCTGTGTAAGCCATGTTACATCAATCTTGATTTTTAAAATAGTTTAAAGAATGTTATCAAGATCTCTGGTGCCTATAAACGATTGCTGGGATGTGTAGAATACTTATAATCAGAAGTAAGAGGGTTTTTGGGCACTACATAATTTCTTCTGAGAAAGCTTCTGGAACATTATAGGACCATTGGGGATAGACTCAATTGTCAAAAAGCAGCCAGGGGCACAGTATCCTCATTTTCTCCTGTTCTCTACCCCTTCCCAGGAGTCAGTGTTGACTGAGAAAGAAAGAATTCCCACCCCACTCTTGTTTTTATTGTGCAGGACCCTAGGTCAACTTTTTAGTAGAGGGGATTTTCCTTTGTGTCCACAAAAGCTATTGACATCACTTTGCCTAAATTAGAGATAATCTAGAACTAGAAAAGTTGGTTAAAATATTTCCATGCTTATTTCAATGTCAAATGAGACTGCTCACCTTTTAAATCCCAACGATTTATTGTTTGTCTGTAGTGCCTATTATTTTTATTAATTCTTGAGGTTCATTTATTGAAGAAGTCATTACAAAAAAGGAAATTAATTTTGTCACTAATATGTATTTGTCTTTTTAATTTCATCCACAAACTGGAAAGTTGGTTTGTTTTTGCTTCAATGGTAAGCTATTTGTCCAATTAGCATTCATTACACTACACTGTAAAAGTGGAATTCAGCCACTTCAAATTTCATCTCTTAATTTATGAGTATCCACCCACCTACCCATCCATCCATCCATCCAACAAGTACTTATTAAGCACCTGCTATTTGCCGGGCATTGTTTAGGTTCTAGGGATACACAAGTCAAGAAAACATCAATCACAGAGTAAACCTCTATGCCCAACTATTTGAAAACTTACGTGAGAAAGGTTTTTTTTGAGGGAGATTGGCCCTGTGCTAACATCTGTTGCCAATCTTCCTCTTTTCTCTTTTTCCTCCCCAAAGCCCCGGTAAATAGTTGTGTATCATAGTTGTTGAGCTGTAGCTCTTCTATACGGGACGCTGCCTCAGCATGGCTTGATGAGCAGTGAGTAGGTCCGCGCCCAGGATCCAAACTGGAGAATCCCGGGCCACCGAAGCAGAACTCGTGGACTTAACTAATGCGCCACCGGGCTGGCCCAAAGTTTTATATATAGGTATGTGTACATTTATGATATCTATGTTTTTTATTTGAGGATATATGACTATATACTGTTCTTTGATGTTTGCTACAAGTCTAAACAGTTTATCCTTACCAGTTATGATTATCGTTTTATTTGATACTTCACATGAACGCCCACTGAAGGTGAAATATTAACGCACACTGTGATGGCATGTAAATCTTTTTCTAGGCATTCCTCACTACCGTGCCTTTGCATATGCTGTTCCCTCTTCCTGTAGCTTTCCTCACTTGTGCAGCTAGCAAATGCCTACTCATCATTCAAAACTCTGTCGGGCAGCATCTCCTCTATGAGGCTTTCCCTGAGCACTTCCCAATAGAATCGATCCCCCTTGCCTCCGGACTATTTCTGGACTTTGCACATGTTTTTATTATTGCATTGATATAAATATTCATTAACATGTCACTCATTATTTCTATACTGAAAGCTTCTTGAGGATAGAAATATGTGCCTCTTCATTTCTGCATCCTTAATAATTCCCAGAATGCCTAGCACATATGGATATTCACTCAACACTGGCTGAACTGAACTGAGGAGCCATTTTCTCTCTTATAACTTGTGGAATGCCACAGAAATGTGTTTACATTTTATTTTAAATTATCTCGCAGTTAAAAATAAACACAAATATTTTTGAATATTTAATAAGCAGTAGATTTCAATGATTTATTAAATTCTTTTCTGATGAGAGAAATTACCATCACTATAAAAGTCTAATAAAATTATATAGTTAGGAACATACCTTTCTTTTTAAAAATTTCTGTCGCTTGCTCCCCCTACTCTCCTGACTTTGTGCCAACATCATGGTTATTATAGACTCATCCTATTCAGAGTACTGTGTTACAATTACTTGTTTATATATCTGAGGCCCCTCCTAGACGTCAACTCCTTGAGACTCGGGTCCCTGTCGCGTCCAACTTTGTAGTCCTGGTGTTTGCAATGACTATGAAAGGAAGGAGCTTAGCAAGTGTTTGTGGAATTAATAAATAGAGGAATAAATAGGAGACAGTGAATAGAATTATATCCCAGGTTCTTCTTTCTCTATTAGGACCTGTCTTGTGATTATCGTAAAAGAAGAAAACCTGCTAAATTCTAAAGAAAAGACTTTGTTGTTGAATAAGGCTAGCTTAGACTGTGTGGGTGTGGCAAACTAGGAAAATGAGTAAGAAGGGAGAAAGCCTTGCTGTGAAAATCTTTTTATTTTATTTTGTGTTTTAAGTTTACACTGAAAGAAGTCTTTTCTAGCTTTGAAATATGGAACAGTGGGTTGGATCAGAAAAAAAAATTACTGGATTCTTTATTATGGAAAGAAATAGGTATGTTAAATATTTCACTGAAGTTCAAAAAGATTTGGGGATCCTTTTCCCTCTGCTAAGATGGTATTAATTATATAATTTCCTCTTATTCTAATTATAGGCAATAGAATGATTTTTAGTTGAGTCATTTGATGTTTCTCTGGGACTTTTTGCAACACGAAGGTGTGGATGTTTAGTAAAATATCACCAGGGAACAGTAGAGTTGGACCCTCTCTAATTCACTCCTGCAGAAAATTATATCACATGATTTTTACAACAGTAGTGTTTGAAAAATGTGGTGAGTTAGTTTTGAAACTTCACTCAACTTTCAAGGAGATGTTAACATCTATTAAATGTATTATTACTCACTAGTGAGTGGCAGCAAAAAATATACTCATCATGTAACCTTGAAAAAAAGTTATTTCTACAGGAACCATTTAGTCAATGGCAATATAGCATTGGTGATTTTTTTAAATTAAAAATGTCAGATGAAGACTTCAATTTTATGTTGTTTCTTCATACACAAACCACTTTAAAATCCATGGAGTAACAACTCATAAACCTATAGAACATACAAATGGCTTAACCTTTCCTCAAAAGTAATTCTCTAATTTGTGTATCTATTGGGCCCCACCGACTTTAGCAAGCTGATATAAATAAGATCACTGCTGTGAAAAACGTGAAGTGGTGATATAATTCTTTGGAGATAGAGTTACTGCGCTTTATAATCTCTTTCTAAGGCATTTCAAAAACAGCACTACACAATTCTTGAGTCAGTATTTTAAATACACAAGATGAAATTGATTTCTTTTTTTTTTTTTTTTCAGATAAGGAAACTAGTATATACAACTTACAGGACTAATTCAAGGTCATGGGCCTGGTGGGAGAATTTAAAATCAGACTGCAAAATCAAACTTAGTTCATTACTTTTTTCTCTACTTCTGAGCATCTTTCATATTTTATATTTTCTTGCCCTTAACAATTTGCCTCTGCATTTCCATGTTAAATTAATTTTGATTATAATTTGACAGACATCCAAGTAACTGCATATGAAAATTAATTCATAAGGACTAGAGAGAAAACTTTATATATTAAAACATTGTATTAAATATAAAGATGAATAGCATTTAAAATTTTTTTCTATGAGATGAGCATGCATATTTAAATACCTAACCTGGGCAATTCAGCACGAGAATATTACAAGATTAATACAGACTTTAAAATATCAGTGGCTGAATATAAGCTAGAAAAGTATGAAATGTTAATCACATCCCTAAGAAGGAACTCTAGAAATAAATTACAAAAGTGTCAATCTCAAGAGTCCATCGACTCCAGCAAATAGAAGGGGCAGGCTGAAAAATGAGACAAAAATGATATTTAAAGCTGTTTCTAAAATATTTCAGTTTAATACTCAAACTTAGGGGAAACATAATTTGTGGTTTTCCTGAAGTGAAGTGACCTTTGACCTTCAAACTAAAAACAAAGCAGCAGCTCCTCATATTTGCCTTAGAAAAAAAGATATTGCAAAACAATTTTCCAAAGCATTAGGGAACTTACCTGTTTCCATTTTTCCATCCTGTGCTGCAGGCCCATCCGGAATGACACTTTTAACCTGCAGAAACTCATCAGGCTCATCTCCACCAATGATGGTAAATCCAAAACCCATGTTGCTCTTTTTTAGGGTGGTGCTGAGGAAAGTTCCCTTCAACTGGGATGCATCCCGGGTGAAGAGCGGTTTTTCTACATTGGCCAATATAAGTTAAAAAAGAAAAAGCACGTTTAAGGCAAGTTCTCACACAGGGGAAAGCCAGCCACTGAGCAGCAATCCCAGGGTAAATGTGGGGTCCCCTAAGGTAAATGCAAGCAGGTGGTGACTGCAGGAGCAAAACTCGTGCTACTTCCTACAAATGCAGAGCAGTCCCAGGCATCCAGGGAGAGGTGAAAAAGCTGCTTGGTTTGGAGAGAGACTTTTGGTCAAGTCAATGTTTCCATTCACTAACATAGCCCTTCTTGTGCTTAGAAAGGGCTGAATCAACAGGCTGTCAGAGCCTGCAGATAAAGAGGAGCCCCAAATCCTCCAGACACATCTGGATACGTTTCTCTTGTTCTAAAAGAGTCCAGGCAGGAGGTGTATGTGAGTGACTGGTCCTGCACAAAACCTTGAAGAGACAGGACTAGAAAACCAAAATGGACTATATGGTTTTAAAAATAATAGGATCCATGGAATGTTACCACTTATTCAAACCTCTCAATTTGTTTAGAAAGAGTACCTGGATGTGGGACTGAGTTAACTTCTGCTTATATTGTGAGATGCTACAAAGATAACCAGATAAAGCAATTTCTACTGACCCGATAGTGTTTAGTATACTCTAAAATGTGAGTGAAAGGCAAGCCAATATTTCTAGAGATAATTATGAATGTAAAGGTAATACATTTTGTAACAATATGTTGACACATTCAGATAATATACCTAAATAATCTGACCAGAACTTAAATCCACTCATAGGTTTGACCACTAATTTGTTATATAATATACTGTCCAGCTATGATCTGTAATAAATATATTCCTAAACATATTAAATACTTTAAAAATAATAGTCATATATCTGTTTTAAATAAATAATATTTGCTTTAAATGCTATCTCAGTCAAGAATTTTATATATATTTTTAGTTGTAACATTTGGGGTGATATGATTTGAAGTTTGTAACAGCCAAACTGTATGTGGAAACTTAAGTATTTTGTATGACACTTTTTTCTGTTGTTACATTTTGGGTGATATGTAATGGACAAACTAAAATAATGAGTCATTATACTGGAATTTTACTTTGTCTATTTACATGTTACATATATCATTATTGAAAATAGAGAACGTTCCTTTAAAATATAAATGAAAAACACACATGATCTTGTCACCTACATCTCCTTTATGAATGTAATATTTACAGTTGGAGAGAAGTTCCACGAGAGACCTTTACATTCATTGTAACTGTGCATAGAGATGTGGTGTGAAAATCATCAGCAGGCAGATTGAGCCCTTTAGACTACAAAAGCCTCTTTTGTGCTTTCCTATATGAGTAAGAGCCTACAAAGACGTGAAAAGCTTGTACAACAACTTATCCCACTACGTGGCTCCAAGAAGTGGTTAGGTGCAGCAGGCAGCCCGGGCATACCGATGGGCCAGGGCCTCCCGGCCTGGTCACGCCGATAATAAGACAAGTCATTCACGCTGCGCGACCTCTCCCGGGCAGCGCGGAGGTGGGCGGATTTGGGCCTAGGTAATGTCGATGAGGAGGTGTCTACTGTCACAAAGGAGAACAAGCCTCATTCTTGTGCTTGGTCTTTTGAGGACAAAGTTACAAGTCTCTATGAATCTCTGCAGTTCACAGTACCACTGTCCAAACCCATTAATCTCCACCTGGCAATGTGCTGTAAATTCCTATAACCTGCTGCCCAAGGCTTTACCTTAATCTGTGTTTCCTAAATACATTAGTTTAGAAACAGCAAACGCCCAGCTAAAGCTCACAGAGGGGTTGGGGAAGGCAAATCAATTATTTGAAATGGTCCAAGCTAAAGGCACATCTGGAAGAGCAGGCAGCCTGATAGACAACTTTCCCTCTGAAACACTGCATACTGACATGGTACGCACCTCGGAAACCTGGGGCCTGCAGGGGCTTGGCTCCAAGTTCTGTGTGGGGCATGTTATGCTGCTGTAGCTTCCTTTTCGCTTCCAGGACAGGGTTTTCAAACTGTGTTCTTCTATTTATGTGGCTGAAAAATAAAATTTCAAATTAGGATAACAGTGGGGCAAAGTCATTTAAGAGAATATACGTATAGCTCTACAGAGAGCAGCGATTAAGGAACATCTTATGTGATTACAGTCAAGTGCCCCACTGGACATGAGGTCAGGCCTCTGCTGGGGCTGGCCTGCACACAATTCACGTTTCTGTAAGAGTAGAGTTCTCTGTGGCTTTATCATATGTTATTGCATTTAAATTATGCATGATTCAGCCAAAAGAACTAGAATGTACACTTGCTTTCTGGTCTACTGTTTAGTTTGAGATGGCTTTGATACATTGAAATAAATGATCAACAAATGAAATTTATACCGAACAGTGTTGAAGAAAAGAGCATCATCTAAGCTTTGCAAAGGTCTCATATCCAACAAGATAAGCGTAAGGTAAATTCACTTATTACTCTTATAGCAAGCAGAGTTCACACTTTTTAGAGTCAGACAGGCCTGGATTAAAGGGCTGGGATACCGGAGGAAAGACTCCCAAGGATATTTATGGAAGCTGTAGAAAACCAGTGTAGGATAGCTGATGCTAAGAGCAATCAAAAGTAGAGTATCCACATTCTTCAAGTGCGATATAAACACATAGATATCAGACACAGAGTGGCTTGAAGCAACTGTGGACCTGCAGAATGGAGGGCTTATAGTATATGAATTCCTTATAGTATCCTTGTCCTTGTCCGCGGAGAGGGTAGGAACCAACAACTCTGCCTAGTGGATCTTTCTCTCGGATATAAATGCCCCATGAGAAGGCTGGCATATACATTGATTTTGGTTCTTTGTACAAACAAGATAGGATTATGGTGTGAAAGCATGAAGAGGAGAGAGGGGTTAGGAGAGGAATTACCAATTACTGAATACTTAACTCTGCCTGGTACTATATATAAATTTCCTCAGTTAAGCCTCATGGCAACAGTCTTGAATTCTAATTATCCCCATTGTAAAGGCAACGAGACTGACACACAGGTCAAATGACTTACTCTAAACCACATGCCTAGTAAGTAAAAAGGCTGGGATTTGGCCATGTCTGTCTCTAAAATGCACCTCTTATCTACGTAACTCCTCTTTTCGGGGTATGATTTCACAGGGGCAAGTGTACACATAATTAACGTGCCTGCGCATGCACAGACACGCACATCCCTACAACCATTTCATTATGTCTTCTAAAAGTACACATCAGAAAGGATAGGAAGTAAAAGAAATAAAATCTCAACAACAATTTCCTATTAATATAAATCAGATAATTCCTAGTGAGACAGAAAAGCAGTTGTCAGACACATAAGACAATTACAATATCTAATGTTTCCTCACGGGAGGCAGGGTGGGGTGGCTGCCTGCCACACAGGCTCTGGAGTCAATTAGTCCCGGATTTAAAATCCAGCTCTATCACTTGATGAGCTGTGTGACCTTGGGCAAATTATTAAACCTGAACCTTAGTGTCTTCATCTGTAATATGGGCATAATATTGCCTTACTCCTGGGGTGGTTGCAAGGTTTAAATGAAATAACGAACATTGGCACAGGATTTTGAGCACAGACATGCTCAATAACTAGCAGTAGCTGTTATCATCATGGCCACCACCATCATCATCTTATCATCACTATCACTGTCATCATTTTGAGTCCATAGGAAAGACTTCATTGGGGGGTTGTTAAAAGCACAAGGACATTTCTTTAATATCACCTCTGGTGTAGACTATGGTGCTATTTAGGAAGGACATGCTTATAACAATCTTCTTTGGTAATGAAACTCACAGTATGGGGTTCAAATCTGTCTTATGTAAAATTATTTTCCATTAGAAGTAAATGCTACTGTAAAGCTCTTGCGTACCGAGGAGGCACCATGATCTGTGGTGTGTAGTGAACTATGGCACGTGATCTTCCAAGCTTCTTCACCCCGTAAACTCTGACAGTGTCACTCTGTTTCAGAAGAGTCAGAGTTTGAAGTCTCTCTTCCCTTTTCTCCATTTTCACGTTAACTCCCTCACTAAAATCCTATGAAATCTTCCTATTACCTAAAGAACTATTCCTGATGCTGCCCTTACCTCTCTCTGTAGCTTCACCTGTGGCTGCCTCACCACACGCACCCTTTGCTTTGGACACACTGGGAGCTCCTCTCACAGGCAACACCCTATCAAACATCTTATCTTTTCACAGGAGGGTCAGTGTGTTAATAGTGCAGTGCTTGAAGCAGGACAGCCTGGTTTGAGGTGGCATCTTGGGCAAATTCCTAAACTCTCTAAGCATCAGTATCCTCATCTGTAAAATGGGGATGTTAATATCTACTTCTTGAGGTTGCTGTGAAGATAAAAGAAATAATGTTTGCAAAGCACAAACACATAGGGAGGACCCCACGATTGTAAGGTAGAGTTATTCTTAATTCTTCAAGGTCTAGTTACTCTTTATTACTATTATTAGTAAGTGCTGCTACTGTTATTGTCATTATTATTACGATGCTTTTCAAGTCTGTCCCATAACTCTTCCCTAACCTCTCCTAGCAACATTCCCAGCCTGCGTTATGCTCCTCCCCTTAGCTCTCATAAAATCTTGAACAGACTTCTCTCATCACAGTTTATTTATTTTCTTATACCCTGTCTCATCATTAAGAGGATTTGAGGTACTTTTAAAGAATAATAACAACAAAAAGTAAACAAAATCAGGGTGAAGTTAGTTGAATGTATGTGGAAGATCAATAGACAAAATTGATAACATTAGATTCTACTTGTTTACTAGAGTTATGTTGCAAATTAGTTTTGAGCTTTCAAGTTGCTAATTCAACGAGAGAGAAAAACCAGTTGCGTTCTTCGGAGTATTTAAGCTAAACCCAAGCCATTGTTCAGAAGAACTTAGTATTCCTGTTATTGAGTCTCATGAGATATTTCTTTCCAGGTCTTGGATAAAGAGGTTTCTGTGATGTCGTATACAACATCCTAAGTGATAATTTCACAATAACGAAATTCACGGGCTATAGGAACCTCATCACACTGTGTTTTAATAATTGACTTTCATGTTTATTTCCTTCTCTAGATTGTGCACAACTGTGTACAGGGCCCATGTGTTATTCATCTTTGTATACTAAGCATTTCTAAGTATACACTAAGCACTAAGTATATACTAAGTATATTCTAAGTATATTCTAAGTATATACTAAGCACTGTGTATACACAGTGAAAGACAATAATTTTTTTGTTAAATAACTAAATGGTGAGTATGTGTTTTAAGACTTTTGTTTGCAAATATATGTTAGTAATTTTGGGAAAGCAAGAAACAGCTCTGAAGTGTACCAAAGCATACGCTTTCCACATTTCCTATCTGTTCCTTTTCTGTTTTGCTAGGTCATTATTCATCATAAGCATAACTTTATCCTTAGAAAATACATTACAAGGTCTTTCTAACGTACATTTACAGATATTATTGAGTTCCTCTAACTTGCCACCTGCAGTAATTATTTCCTTAGAAAAGTCAATGTGTGGCCACCTGCTTTACGGACACTATGTTGAAAATATTTCATTCACTATCAAAGTGAGTGTCTAGAGTTCCCAGAGAATGAAAATACCAATGAACTAGTCTGGTGTGCCCTGCACCCTACAAATAGTGGAAGCTGGGTGGGGCTTTAGTATCTTGAGCTAGTTGCTACAGAACATTTATATTGTTACAAATGAAGTCATTCATTTAAAACTTAAAATGCTCCCAAGCTTTAAAAGACCCATCACAAAGAAATATGATTGTAGCTGAATAGGAAAGCCTTATTTTCCTTGTGCTTCCAAAATGAATAGTTTCAAGTCCTTTGAGCAAGGATTGAGGGGGGCCGTGGTTTACAATGTGTAGAAAGGATGTGAATGAAAGTGCCATCATCATCTTCCTCATTGTTTAGGTTCTGTGAGATAATTACTAGCTATTTCATCCAGCTTCCATACAGAATAGGAACCTGGGAAGCTACCAAGAGTTCTTACTGTTTAATTATATCTAGCCTATTGTCATATTTTACTAAGAGAATCTTTAGGTGTTAAGAGCTAAGGGGGTAAACACATATTCTGAAGTGGGTATAGCCTAACAATTCCATTTTCCCTTTACAAAAAAGGAAAGACTACTGATATGACATGCTTCCATGTTGGAATGGCAAAGGGATTAGGATATTCAAGGATGAGATTTCATCGCCTTCTCTCTTTGTGCTTATAGTCACTCATTTGCACCTTAACTTCCTCCTTTCACTATAGAATGGAAACTTCAAATAAGTTCTTATGTGGCACTGCTTTGTAGTTCTGGATGAACCCGAGGAGCTTAAAAAAACAAACAGATAAAAACAGAGAAGACTCAAGCCTACAATGAATCAATTGAGCCACATTCTCAGAATTGAGTACACGCATTGGCATTTTTTTTTTAAATTCTTTTATTTTTTTTTTTTGTGAGGAAGATCAGCCCTGAGCTCACATCCAGCCCTGAGCTAATGTCCATGCCAATCCTCCTCTTTTTGCTGAGAAAGACTGGCTCTGCCAGTCCTCCTCCTGTTTTTCCCCAAAGCCCCAGTAGATGGTTGTACATTATCATTGCACATCCTTCTAGTTGCTGTATGTGGGATGCGGCTTCAGCATGGCTGGAAAAGCAGTGCGTCAGTGTGCGCCTGGGATCCGAACCCGGGCCGCCAGTAGCAGAGCACGCGCACTTAACCGCTAAGCCATGGGGCCGGCCAATTGGCATCTTTTAAAAAGCCTCCCAGGTAACTCTATTGTGCAGCTGGGGTTGCAATCCCCTGAGTTTGAAGCTGAAAAAGTATGAAAAAGTAGTTGAATAAGGAGTTTCTTGCCTGATAAGATTTACGTGGAAATCTCTTTCTGTATGTGGCCTTGAGGAGTACTAGGAAATGCTATTTTGCTCCAGAAGAGAGGACTTCTGCCATTGGAAGTTTCAGACATGCACAGAGGGAAGGAAATATTTGCAGCTGATTGGATGGCAGTCCCAGGTCCGCATCCTGTTTGACT